TCATTTGAGTCCAGTCTTTTCTCCCGCCCAGGCGGGGGGTTGGACTTGAAGATCAACAAGGTCCCTTCTGACCCTACTTCTATGATTCTGTGACCCTGAGATTACTACTCCCTGTAGCCTATAAAACCCAACGTTCCCTCACAGGAATCCTCAGGGGCCCTAGAGCTCTGTAAATCGTCTCACAGCATCTGATTGTCTGGGAGGAGTATGTGCCAGCTTCACCTTGTCGCCCACCTTTTTACGTAGCAAAGGGAAGTGCAGACGTGCTCCACTGGTACCCATACGATTTCCAGCTAGGTTTTTTTCTTGGCTTCTCCCTCTGCATCAGTCCCACTAGTCCTGGCATGTCCTGAGACACCTCTGGATGGTAGTGTGCTCCTACTGGGTTTCAGGGGCCGCTGGGGTTATGTGCAGGGCATATAGTGTTACCTCCACATCATTCACTGGCTTGGGGACAAGTTCAGAAGTCCTTTCCCAACTGCTATAGCAGTGCAACTGTACTGTCACTGTTATAAACCCTCAGGGAAGATCATATTGTCATACCCAAACCCCAGCCTCAGTGATGCCACATGGTCAGTCATTCTCTAGTGCAGGGATGCTCAGCATCTGGCCCATGGGCCAAATGTGGGCCTGCAGAGCCATTGCATCTGGCCCGTGGGGCTCCCCACAGGTCAGGAAATGTGGTGGCTAGGGAGCAGCGGCCATTAATACAACCATCCTCCCTTGCTGCCAAATTCCCATGTCCTATTACCCCCACACAGCTGATTCAGGGCCAGGCCTCACCCCCTTCCCCCACACAGCTGGATGGGGCTGAGACACCCTCTTCCTGCAGTGGCTGCGCTGGGGTCAGGCTATGCCCCCATCCCCCATGCAGCTGGGTTGGTGCCAGGCTGCCTTCCATGTGGCCAGATGGCGCCCTACGACATCTGCCTTGGGCGCCAGATTGGGGCCACCAGCCAGATCCAGACCACAGACAGCCTGGCCACTTCCCATCCAGCCTGCTAGGGAAAAAGGCTGGGCGCCACTGCCCTAATATGTGGTTAATACATCTTGACAAATGCCACTGTTTTCTGGTGTCACCCTGTATGACCCAGGGCTGCACCAGAAGCAGACAGCATTCATTTTTTACTGCCTGCACTCAATGAGTATGTCTTATCATTGAGTGTCCATGCACAAGCAGCAAAGCTGCTCTGACATGCTGGAATTCCAGCACATTGGAGCAGACTCAGTTAATCGAGCCTGCTGGAGTGTGACAATTGCCACACTCCAGCAGCCTCCTGTGTCTTGTGTACGAGTGTCCCCGTGCTGAAAAATGACGGCGGGGTACTTGAACTAAAGGTTGTTGAACAACCTTTAGTTCAAGCACCCCCACTGACATTTTCAGCACAGGGACGTTTTAATTAGAGTGGCTCTTGGAGTCACTCTAATTAAAGTGCCAGCCCCCCCCCATGAAGCATGTTTAAAAGTGCCCATTGTGACTGAAGCCAGAGAGGGCCTTCAACCTCCTGGACACCGACAGGCACAGACATTAGAGGAGTGGAGAAAATATTTAGGTCTCGTGTAACAATTTTCCCCTTCACTCCTGAAGGCCAGAGCAAGATTAGTTCTTTCGATAGCTTCTTCAGCGTTCCACCCAGTTCTGGGTTTAAAGATCCCAAGCGATGATGCTCTGACTGTTTTCCTTAGAAAGAGACCTCCAAGGCCTGATACATCCCCAAGTTGTAGAGGCCTGATCTCAGCTTTTTTTGTTTGTTTGCTTACACTGACACCAAGAAAAGGAGTTGAGGACCCCAGAGAGGTCAGAGATGACCATGAGATATCAAAGAGATCTGAAATAAGTTCTTTGACCCTTACGTTCCCAGCAGGTGACCTGGGTCTAGTTTTCCACAGCATCTGATGACCTCTGATTGAATTTCTAGCAACTAATCCAGCCTATAGCCCACCTATTTCCAGTAAACCCAAGCTTAGTCTGTGCAGGCCACCTGGGAAGATTGACAGTATTTTTCTTCTCTCTTACCTGCTGTCCTCCATCCTTCAGGAGGTTCACTGGCACCTGGTCATACGTGATTCCCTTCAGGGCCAGTGCTAGAAGGAATGCAAAACATGGATTCAGAGACAGAGTGAAGCCAGGCAGGTTTCAAAGGAAATGAACAGGGGAGAGTGCCTTCTACTAAATGGTTTTGCAACTCAGCACCTCCTAGCACAGGGACTCACAGGAAGAGTACCCACACCACTTCCTGCAGGACCATGTTGAAACTGTTCTCAGTCAAGTACTGAGCAGGTCTAGCTCTGCTTTCCTGGCAAGACCAGATAAGATCAGTTTGAGGCAGCATCAGTGTAGTAACACAGTGCAGGCCCCTTTAAGGAATGCAGATGTGGACATCTGGATTCCATTAGCTTTACGGAGAAAGAATGTGTCTTAACTGGCTCTGAAAGTGTCTGAAAAGAGGAATTCAGGGAGGGGGGAAGCCATCCAAAGCCCACTATGGAAGGCCAGTCCTGAGAGGAAAATCTTCTTACAATTTCAGTCATGAAAACAGTGAAAAGTGTGTACCAAGCACACAAGGAAACTCCTACATTTCCCATCTGCCGGGAGCCAACAAAGTGATTTTGGTGTTTGCTGCTGCCTCTCCCTGGGGAAATGAAGAAAACTCAAAGTCCTATTTTTGCTGCATTCTCTTTCTCAATAGGTCACTGATTAGGTGGGTTTACTGGAGGGAAGGTTACTGTTCCGAAAAAGTGCTGAGGCAACAGTGCTAGAGCAAAGGAGAGTTAACCACCAGACCTTACCAATTCTCACCCTCCAGGAGCAGGAACTTCGGAAATAACTATAGAGAACTGGCTGGGGAAAGAGAGAGGAAAGCCAATTACATGATAGTGACTCTGCAAGTTGTCCAGCTAGAGCCCAGCATGAATATGAGACATTCAAGGAACCTTGCTAATTCAGAAAGAGGAGCTCTAGGTGCTACCTCTGCTTTTAGGTGGGACAGTTCCTTTTGGGGGTTCAAAAACGTTACCAGTATTTCCTGCTTGATCCAGCTTCCTGCAATACAATACAAATACAAGTTCGGTGATTCTAGCCCCTTCAAAATGTCCCTCATTGTTACTTTCAGATGTCAGCATCTTGACCTGTGTCACCGATTTCCAAAATAAAATTTCCCAGTGAATAATAAGCTGCAACTGAAATCCAGTGGCGTGAGGTGTCCCTTCACGCCATCCAGGGACAAGCAGAGTACATTCATAGTGTGGAAGAACAGCTGTTGCTCCCTGAATGCTGAGAATACAGGGAAACAAACTGCCAGAGTCCTGAGGGAACTCTGGCTTCCCCCTGCTTCACACCCCTCAGATCTCACCTTCCCAGAGGGCGAGGATGCCATGGTCTGTGTGTTCAATTCACTCCAGGGAGTGAAAGCCACCTCCCACAGCCTTTCCTTTTAGCTCAGCTGAGGTGGGGGTGGGGGTGGGAGGTTCTGTCCCTACCGCCAATGAGAAAAGTGCCATATTCCAAAATCTTGGCTTCCTCCTGTAGCCAGAAGATACAGCAACAGCAGCCAGCTATCTTCTGCTCGGTGTGGATGCCCCTTGAGCCCCATCCACTATACTCGTTAGCTTGTTGGAACATGCCCATCACTTTGGTATCTCTACTGTCTGAGGATGGTTGGGTCATATTTATTTATCTAGATTTTGCCATGCTGCTGTTGTTACAGGGACTCTCAGGCTGTCAGAAGCTGCGAGTGCAGAATCACAGACTGGGGGGTGGGTATAGAAGGAAACCAGAATCTGCATATAGAGGTTTCTGTGCTCATTGCATGGGTGCCAGCCAGAGCCTATCTTTCTGTAAAACACTGAACATACTCGCTCTGCTTAGCGTAATGCAAGGTCCCTCTTCTGCATATAAAGCTTATTTTTGGTTCCTATTGATTAGGAAGCCATTTCCTATTTATAGTTTCGTCTATTGGAGGTTAATATATTAATGCATTCCTGAGAGGTTAATATATTAATCCTCATATGACCACACATACACTGCATGAAACAATACCTCCATTTCATAGGTGCTGACTCCATCCCAGAGAGATATGAAGTGACTTGCTTATTGTTACACCATGAGTCAGTGGCAAAACCAGAAACAGCACGTGAGTCTTGAATCTAAACAGCAAACCAATTCTCCAGCTACATTTTATTTAAAATTGTTTATAAAATGTAAACGTTTGATGAATTATCCCAGTGATATCTGCCTGAGAAATGGTTTGCAGAGAGGGAGGACTGACATCAGTGCTGTGAACTCTCCGTTTTATTGTATGATGATACTATCCAATGGGTTTATTACAGCCTCACCTCCCAGAATCAGAGGCTAAGGAAAAATATCAGCTTTCTTTTTTAAGTAAGCCATTAGCCTTCAGGCTTAGAGAACAAAGCCAGAAGATACCACTCTTAAAAGGCTCAATAACCAGACGGCAAACACAAGGTGGACAACACAATTTTTGTTGATATTTCTTTGGGGACCTTGCTCAAGATTTTGGAAGAGTTGGGGGCTGGCAGTACTGTGATGAGACAATGCCTTCTCTTGAATACACCTATTTCCTGGTTTTACTCTCAGAATTAGGGAAGACATTTTTCTTGTTATTCTCAGTGTAGGTTTTGGGGTTTTTTTTGCAATCTGCCGTAATTTGTGGACTTAATTGTAGCATGCTAATTGCTTTGCTCTGTAACTTCAAGAGCTCCAGAGACTCTACTAATAGATCACTGAAAACAACTCTTCTCTCTGCTGGGAAGTGTCTCCAAAGCATAGCCCTTGGGGCAATCTCTAAATGTATCCAGTTTTGCTCCTGAGCTATACTTTGGAAGAACCACTCAGCTCATGAAGGGGACCAGGTGGCAACAGCTTTTTTATTTTTTTTAAGAAAATTTTTTCATGACCCAGGTCAAACTAGCCAGATTAGGTACAAATCAGTTTGAATCATGCAAGAATCATATGTGGCCCTGCTACCGGCAAGTATTCTCCACCCCAGCCCAGGGCTTCAGATACTTCCAAATCCTTTGGCAAGCATCCTACATGCAAGCCCAAGCCTAGAGGCTTGAGATTTGGATGCCCCTGAGTTTTGCTTGCCCTCAGCTGCAGGGCCAGAGCTTATGCTCCTCTCTAGTGCCTAAGGGAA